TGGCCGCGTGGTCCCAGTTGGCCGGCCGCGTCCGGTACCTACCTCAAGTAGGCGTGGGCCTCCATGCTGCGGTTCATGTTGCTCGAGCACACCACGGCAAAGCGGAGCCCCATGGCGAGCTCAGGCCGGCGGCGTCGGCGGCGCTACTGCGGCGAGGGGCGACGCGCTCCGACAGAATCTGTGGCCAAGCAGACGGCGCTGGTTAGAGCTGAAGCCGCTGCGTCATATCAAGTCACCGGGTTGACCGCTCACGTGCGCGCCGTCCTGAAACAGCGAGGTCCGCAGATGATTCCATGACCTCCGCCTCCATCCGGAGAACCGAGGTGAAGGAAACGTCCGATACGACTAGTCTGGAACAGACCACCTAAAGCACATTCTGCAAGCGGGAGACGCGGGACGGGTCTGCCGCAGCTTACCTGAAATAAATGTCCTGAGCGAAATGTTAAGCGTAAAACTTCCACACTCTGCGTCCTTTCCATTTAAGTCATGACCGTTTAGAAGCCACACTTCTTGCGTCACCGGCTCGTTCTATTTATCAATGAGTAAAAACTACACTAAAAACGGTCTTGCTTCAAGGTTGTGTGCTCGCACAATGCAGTTTAACAACGGCATCGTGGAAGCAATGCCGTTTTAAGTTGCACTAACTTTGGTTCAAGAAACTGGTCAACTGGTCTGGTCAACTGGTCAACGCTTCTCAAAAGTTACTTGGCTATCTCCCGTCGGAGCTACGCTACTCGGAAATATCTATTTTCAGCTCCACGCTGCCCAAGTCCGAAGGCCTGCCTGACCAACGCTTCCCAAACATCACGACCCGCCGAATCGACATCACCCAACTGTCATTACTTGCCAGGCCGGCACTACTTCTAAGCCGGGTCAACGTCTAAACATCGTGAACTATCCGCTCCTGTAGCCGCGGGGCACATCCTCGCCAGATGCTATACAGGCACCAGCCTGAGCGGTGCTACAAGACTGTAGCCGCGGGACACATCCTCGCCAGCTGTTATACAGGCACCAGCCTGAGCGGTGCTACACGACTGTAGCCGCGGGGCACATCCTCGCCAGATGCTATACAGGCACCAGCCTGAGCGGTGCTACACGACTGCTAGACAGACACCCAGATGCTAGACAGACACCAGCCTGAGCGGTGTTGTACGACTGTAGCCGCGGGGCACATCCACGTCAGATGCTATACAGGCACCAGCCTGAGCGGTGCTACACGACTGTAGCCGTCGGACACATCCTCGACAGCTGCTATACAAGCACCAGCCTGAGCGGTGCTGTACGACTGTAGCCGTCGGACACATCCTCGACAGCTGCTACACAAGCGCTGCCTCACATCTTTCAGCTCCGCCGCACACAGAACCCACCGCATTCCTCGCATCAAACTGGCTAGAATGCCGCCGACAAGTAAGCCGTGTAGCACTCGGTAGACCA